TCTCTCTCTCTCTCTCACTCTCTCTCTCTCAGCTGACTTGTCCTTCCTTCCCTTTGTATTGCTTCCTTCTGAATTATGGGATCTGCCCCAAAAGTGGATGGGGCTGTCTTTATTTTTTTCTTTTTTGGTGAGAATGTGTTGTAAGTGTAATGCATGCTGTTTTTATTGAGCAAAATGGGGATTGTCGTTTGAGAGGACATGGGTTAGTGTCTTGTATTCCATTGGGCAATGTGGCGTATAAGCTAATTAAGACTGCCCTTAGTTTGTGGGCTGTCCTTTGTGCGGCCATAAGATTCAAGAGGTTAATGTTGTGAACGACTTGACAAAGTGTGCTTGTTGCTTAAAACTGTTCTTAAGAAATTCCCCATGTAAAGGCAATACTTGTTTATTATTATTAGCTTTGATGCAGCAGGAACTCATTTTAAGGAGAAGTGGCCATGAATCTTAGTTTTTAAAACAGAGACCTCAATTTACTGTTATCTTTCTGAACCATTTGCCACTTTCACCTCCCTCGTATGTGCTGTTTTTATTAGTCAGTGTCCACCTTGTGTAAGCTGAATGGCTGGTTTGAGGATTGTGGTGGTTGCCTCACTTTACTACCCATCTCTTTGTTCGTCTGTCTGTCTTCTTGCTGTAAACAATCTCCGTTGCCTGTATTGTGTCAGTGTGCTTCTTGTTTGCTGATGCCCAGCCAAGACGTTCAACTCTTTCTGATAAAGATTACCATAATCTTTTCGACAGTTGTTTAGTGCCCTACCCTGGAAAATTGTATTTTGCTGAAGGCAGACCATACTGCCTGAATCCGTTTCTTCGCTTCAATTATTAAAAATGGAATTTAAAGAGATACTCAAATGCATTTTTCTTTCCATTTGGATGAAATTACGTGAACATGTGTACAAGATGTAGAACTTTATGTCCCATGATTAAGCACCCAGACCTAGAACCTATTTATTTCTTGGAATCTTGATTGAATCCAAGTTGTGTCTCACTTGATGATTATTTTACAAGACAACTTTTAGTTGGTCCGGCTTCCTTATAATTGTAGTTCTTTTATTTGCCTCTTTTTCTAAAGAAATCGAAATCTATCTAAAGATAGCAAATCATGAACTAGGAAGACTTTTCCAATGACCTGTGCTTCCCAAGGGACCGATGATTTTGTTGCTCGTCTGCTTGGATGGTTTGTATGCATCAGTTTGTCTGTTACCTCCAGATTATTGTTATTTTTTTCTTGGTTGTTTCATGGAGTATGCACTTCAAAATGAAGTTCTGCTCAGCTCTGTTCTGCTTGTGCACATGATTAGCCCGTAGTGTGAATGAGTTGTTGGAACCAGAACGTTGATGAAAGGGTTTGCTTGTATCTAAGTAATTGAAAAGTTTTATTCCATGTAATGTACTGTTATTCTTGGACATTTTATCTTTCCAAGCTTAAGTTACAAAAGCATGTGTAATTCCAATGATTATTTGATTTGATTCCAAATAAAGATATAAGGGAGGAGACTTTTTCGAAGATGAAACCTAGCGGACACAGCAGAAAAATTGTGTGTGTAATTTGGACAGTGATAGTCTTTTTATCCCACCAGCTGTCCAGTATTTTTCTTTTTTTTCATTATTTATCTGCAAAGGACCCACAAAATTATTTAATTCGGTTTCTGTACATTGCGTTTTTGTTGTTTTCTTTGGTAAGTTCAAGCTTCTTATTTTCTGTTACATGTGTCTCATTACTTGTAATTTTCGTATGTCTCTGCATGTCTTTGTGTAAAATCTCCTTGTAGTGATGATGCTTGTTCATACAGTTGTTGGTGCCAAGACTATCTTTTTAATTATGAAAAGAAAATTAAAACTCATCTGACCCAGGAATTTGTTCGAGTGTTTTTTACTGCTGCCAGTCTAGTTATGGTGGAGGTTTACAGATTATTCATTTTAACGCAAGCACTTCAGCTGAAAAAACTGGTAATATGAAAAAATTGTTCAGTGTGGGTCAAAAATATTTATGTCACCCTGTCTTTTATATTGATTTTCTTTGGCTGTCATATGAAAATCGTTCTCAGTAACGGTAGCTGTTAAGAGTCTCTCTCCCCCCCCCCCCCCGAAACAACAAGTACTTCACTTGAAATATTTAAGTCATTTTGGCGTTTTGCGAGCAGGTGGCAAAATGGGTAGACTATGTTGTGATCAGATTTTGGTACTCGGCAGTTGCTGTATTTGTATATTGCAAGTGTTTTGTCCACCACTGAACAAGTAATATAAATGTTCTGTTGAATGCAACGAAAAATATCCCTGGTCCTTGTCCTTGCTCCGACGTTTGCGTCATTACCTGCTGCAGCTGCTTCTGGCGCCTAGTCCAGAGCTTTGTCACTGGTGTCGTGCGCCTGGTACAGAAAACAGACAAGTCTGGAGCTAGTACTTTTTCTCTGGCCTGGAATGGGTGGTTGGCAAGTGGGTGTTCGGGTGTTGTCTGCTTTCCTTTACAGGATTGCTTGAATTATCCTAGTACATTTGTGCATACTGCTAAACTTAATGTGTCCTTTGAAAAGTGCCCATTATTTTGCTGACTCGCTATAACTATAAAAAAAAAACCCACACGTGACACACCAAGACCTCTAGCTCAGAAAGAGGAAGGGGGGGGGGGTCATAGCTGTGAAATGATAGTATTGAGGTGAAAATATGGGTATTCTGCTTTTGTTGAAGCTGTTATATGTATTCCACGATGTTAAGTAGCTCACTAATTTGACCAAAAACGAGTATTATTTTGCATAAAAACGCAAAATAAAACTCTGATAAACAAAAGTAGGGTGAACAAAATTATGGTGGGGCTTGCTTTTTTATTTCTTGCATAGTTTTAGGACAAATCAGATTTGCATGCTGCCTCATAAAGGGACGTGCAAATGTATTGTTAGAATAGAAATAATTGTGCCATATAAAAATGCAGACGCTTCACGTTTGAGTATTTATTGTTGAGTGATTGTGCGTTCATATTACAGAATGTGTCTCGGTTATGTTGCATCCTAGCCATTCTTGTCTTGGAATAGAATTCAAGGGATAGCTTTGGTATTCTTATTGGATATATATATATATATGTTGTCACACGTAGGCGTGCGCCACAACTGTTTTGGTTTGTTCTTCAGGGGATTTTGGTTTAGTTCGATGCTCAATCTTGCACCCATCTGGGAAAGTGTTCGTACTGATGTGCAACTCCAATCGATGTAGGGATTTCTCACAGCTTCTTTCCTTCAAAATTCCCATTACAGAAGATACTGGTTATCTTTTTAATTATTACTCATTTTAAGTAAGGTTTTTGTTTGTTGTTGTAGGCATTAATACCAGTATTTCCGTTATTATTCTGTATTATTATTATTATCTATAAATTCTTCTTGTCATCTCTATTGACATAACTATTATTTTTAATTTATCTCTTATAATTCCGGCACTTACTGCAGGTGGGTTTTTTTTGTCTTTACACATTTTCCTAATTTTTCTCTCATGCCCTTATTTCACGATGCATGTTTTTCGTCTAGTCTGGTCAGTTATGGCTCTTCTCAGACTTGATTATGCTCGGTCCTGTTCTGCGA